ATATGGACGTAGTGTCCGTGACGTCACCCCGTAGGTTTCTGAAAAGCATTTTTATGGGGCTTAATAATTAATTATTATTCATTTGTAATGTTATTATGTCATTAAACGTTTTACGTAAATATGCTATGGAAATACATCTTGCTTAAACAACTGTATAAGACGAGTGGTGCGTCTCATTTATAAAAAAAACTATTGACAGTTTGTGATTAGATCACAATGTAGACTGAGGAATAAACTGAGTCATCAGTCCTCGCGCATGTCGGTTTCGCAAATGTGAACAGACCACATGGGGATCACACTTGGATGTTGGATCGTCTGAATATTACCTTTCTGCTCGTCTCCTCAGATCTTTTAACTTTTGTGCCATGCAGACCTTGATCTCAGTGCCTCCGATGCCTGGGTGCCTCTTTTTGACATGGTCTGTAAGAAATGAGATTGATTACATTAAAATTTGAAAACAAGTTTGACATGAAGTGACATAACTGTCAGATTCAAACTGTGCTTTCCGCGCTATGGCTGGCGCTGACGGACGCGCTCAGCGCTTGTCATATATAATAACTATTGATAAAAGATATTCAGACATGCTTACCAATTATTAGCTGCACCTTTTGTAGGTCAAGGCTCTTTTTTCACCAACAACCCCTTTTTTTCCGTTCATGCTGCCATCTCTTCGAAAGAGAAGATGGAGTCCATAAGAGTTCTGGTTAACTTTTTGTAGCCCTTACATCTTTGAGCATGATCCAAAGCAACTGGGTTCATTAAGTCAGTCACAGACTTGTTCTGCAAAGCAAAAAATAAAATAAAAAATAGAACATTTTCGTCAGGACAGAAACCGTGATCTTTTCAACGTTATTGCATATTAGGTGAGGTTTTCACTTTGGAGCTGTGAGTGTAAATTTTAGCATACAAGTATTTATTGTTCATGCTCGAGTCTTGATACTCTTTTACCTTCATATTCCAGAGTTTAGGGGTAAAATGCGAGAAATCTCCTTTAGTGGACTTGGATATGCTGGGCACTACTCACTGATCTATATAAATGACTTGATTGCTCATGACGTCATGTAAATTGAAGTCACCATATTCTATTGAATTAATAGGAAATCATCTGACTTTAATGAGTAAACATGACCTAACGAGTCAGTGTTTTTTATATTTGAATTCTATACATTCTTACCATGTAAACATCCAAAACATTTCTGATTATTATCAATGTTGAAAACAGTTGTGCTGATTAATGTGTTTGTGTAAACCATTGTAACAGTTTAAACCATTTTTTCCCCTCCAGGATTCATTGTTAAATAGACCACAAACATATGAAGGGTAGTTTACACTAATGTTCAAACATTTGGGGTCAATGATAGATTTAAAAATGAACAGAAAAAAAAGAAGAAATTCATATTTTTACTCAGCAAGGATGCATTAAATTGATCAAAAGAGAGAGTAAGGATTTCTGTTTCAAATAAATGCTGTTATTTTAACCTTTCTATTCATCAAATAATCCTGAAAAACACAAAAATATGAAGCAGCACAACTGTTTTCAACACTGATAATAATCATAAATGTTTTTTTGAGCATCAAATCGTCATATTAGAATAATTTATGAAGGATGATGTGAAGCTGTGATGCTGAAAATTCAGCTTTGATCATAGGAAGTAATTGCATTTTACAATATATTCACATAGAAAACAGTTTTTATTTATTTATATTATTTCACAATATTATTGTTTTTAATGTTTTTTGGTGAACATAAGAGAAAGAGACATAAACATTTGTACCAAGACAATTAGTGTATGTTTGACATTAGTGTATGTTTGGCGTTTTACTTACTAATCATATGGTTCATCAATAGTGCTTTAGAGATGAAGATCAGCTCCACTCCGCTCCGTTGAAGGGCATCAGCACTGAAGGATCTAAGAACACAACAAGCCATTTGTCACTGAGCCAACAATGCAATGCCAGGTTTATTGAAAGGAAAGAAGCTACAGCAGAGGTGAAATGCAGAAAAGAGAAAGAATTTAAAGAATATACAGAATATAATTTCTTAACTAGGATAACAGAATTTGTTTTTGGGTTTACTTATTCATTTAATTTTGCTCATACGGTGTAACTTCGTTTGGATGTCAAAACCTTCTTAAAATAAACAATTTAAAAAAACAAATTGAGAAATAAAATGAGGTTATTTAATGAGCTTCCTCGGCTCACCTGTGTCCTAACGTTACTTCTCCGGCAGCAGCTTTCTCCAGAAATGTTGAAGTCGTGGAGCTTTCTCTCTGTTATGGGTTATTTTGTTACTACTGAAATCACAGAACATTTTTTAATCAAAATGTGTTTAACGTTACCATTGAGCTAACGTTAGTTTCAGCCAATTTTCTTGCTCCTGAAAGTAACATCACCGATACGTTATGTTTACGTTTGTGTTAAATAAATTAGCTCACTTCCAAGTAAAACCTTTACAAAACCTCTCATCTACACATAAGAGGTGATTAAAAGCCCAAACTTTAATAAATAAAAGTTCAACCGAGTTAACATTACGTTAGCCTAGCTAGCTGCTACCTCTTCAGAAAACGGTTGAGATCCTAACGGACTTTTTCCGAAGACACTACACCATGTAAATTTTTAACAGAATCGTGTCAATTACAAGTAAGAGAAATGTCAAAAACAGTTGTGAGTATTATTCGTGTGATTTTAGAGACTAATCTCACCTGGAAAAAGCCGTGAAAAGTTTAAACAACATCGAGAGAGGGAGTTTTGTTGCTTACCAGTAGCAGTGGTCCCGCGCCGTTTCCATGGCAACTCTGCGCGCCGGCCGCTCCAGTGTTTGAAATACTCGAAAGTTCACGCGCACGGCATTGATTAAACCACGTCAAAATCATGCAGCACTTAAAATGAAAAGTTTAATATCCACTTTATTTTATTTGAAAACGTGCTTGCAGTAGCCTATTGATTATATCAAATATAATATACTGTTGATTATGTAAAATATATTTACAATATAGCTTTAGAAATGGTAAACAGTGTTGAAATAAAAGTATTGCAAAAACTCATTAAAAACTATACGTGTATATAAGTGTTAGTATATACACATGCATTATAAGCTTTATGTTCTATGCATTTTGTGTGAAAAAGGCTATTGAAGCTAAAAATGTACAGTATTTGTGACGTGGTAACATAATTCACATGTTAAAACCTATTACAACGTGCAAATATATTTCACATGAGCTCCACATTATTACCTATAACATGTTTTCCACATGTGCCACGTGTTCCATTAAGTTCACATGTGGTGACATGTTGTTCACATGTGGTCGAACATTACTGCATGTGGTGACATGTTGTTCACATGTGGTCGAACATTACTGCATGTGGTGACATGTTGTTCACATGTGGTGAAACATTGTTCACATGTGATGACATGTTGTTCATATGTGGTCACATGTGGGCATATGTGGTCACATGTGGTCACATGTGGGCACATGTGGAAAACATGTGATAACATGTGAAATTCATGTGTTTTTTCTGTAAGGGCACAGATGCATAGATGTCACTTCATTGGAGAAATATGTATATGTGTTTTATTATTATTATTATTATTATTTTGGAGTCTAGCAATGTTCTGAAAACCTAATGCAAGATCATTTTTTAGCCATGCAAAGATTGTCATGATGCTTACACAGAACCACAGTGAAGCAGTGTCTGGGTGGGATGTTCTTAGAGACAAAATTGATCTTTGCGTCATTAAAATCAATAGTGCATGTATCTTTTAACATTTCAGTCAGGCTGTGGGGGTCATATGTCTACTAAATTGTATGCACACAGTGTTGGGTGATATTTTACACCTATTCTTTTTCTAAAATATTGAAAAGCACCAAGAGTGATATTTAATGTATAGATTATTTGTACATATAAAAGGTCATGGATTATTTTGATGGGAAAGAGTGCAAGGGAAAGAGTGCATATATGTATATTGCAAGAAATTCAAGAAATGTGTGCATGTGTGTACAGTTTGTACAGTATAAAAATCATTACGTCTATTAAGTCGCCATAAAACATGGAAACTCAACGTGTGTGTGTGTGTGTGTGTGTGTGTGCGCGTTTGTGTGTGTGTGTGTGTGTGTGTGTGTGTGCGTGCGTGCGTGCGTGCGTGTGTGTGTGTGTGTGTGTGTTTGTGTGTGTGTGTGTGTGTGTGTGTGTGTGTGTGTGTGTGTTGGGTACCAGGGATCTCGCTGTCTTTCTAAGGGGTCCGGTCTCTTTCACCAGCAGATGTCTGAACAGAATTCTGCCAGTAAAACCTCCACTAACACTCCCCAAAGAACTCATTTATTTAGGAGGAATAAGAAAGTGAAGAGACTGTTAAATTTGATAGTATTTTATGGAGAGAAAATGAAATCCGCCAGTGGCATTAAATAATCAGCGAAGGGAAAAAACGAAAGAATAAGAGCTGGAGGTAAAAAGAAAGATTCCCGGTTTGAGCTATGCTAATTATTATTTTAAAATTAATTCCACCTGAATCTTATTTAGATAGATAGATAGATAGATAGATAGATAGATAGATAGATAGATAGATAGATAGATAGATAGATAGATAGATAGATAGATAGATAGATAGATAGATAGATAGATAGATAGATAGATAGATAGATAGATAGATAGATAGATAGAGATAGACAAAATGTCCCCACAAAGATAGTAATACCAGCTTAAAAATCATTATGTCTATGGAAAGTCCCCATAACATATGGAAACCCAACAATTGTGTGTGTCCTCAGGCAGTGACTCATTTTAAGTGTATCAGAGAAGTACAGTTTAGTAGGAGTATCTGATACACTGGCAACCAGCAGGGATCTGGAAACGCATAACGCATCTAATAGCCAGAAAGAACAGATAAAACACACACACACACACACACACTCATCAACTGAGACGGCCTAAGGAAAGATGTGTGTGCAGCGCTGTACTACAAACCCAGTAGCCTATAAAGCTCTCATTTCTTGCTTTCTTACCTGCGTATGGAACTGGTGCATCTTTGTCTAGAGCCACTAAAGGAGGATCCAACAGAACCACATCTGTGTTTTCTGTGATGATGCCATGGTATGATGTTTCGATCCACGGCTTGTGCTTATTCACTAAGAGAAGAAAGAGAGAGAAAGAAAGAAATGAGCTTTGATTTACGTCGAAAAATAAACCACAATGAATCTGTTTTGAAATAGAAACCTCTGCACATCTAAACCTGGTACTTTTCACAAAGGCCTTTCTAAGAATACTGTTCAATCAATTCATATTGACATGAATGAACTCAATTGCATGCAATTGTATTGCTCTTTCAGAGCATTTTTTTTCCCAGCTGATGAACGATAAAAACACCGACAGCCAATCAGAATCCATCCTGCTTTTAAGAGCTGGAGCATTTAAAGTGGCAGAAGCCAAAACTGCAGTGTGCTTAGAATAAACAGAGCGTTATCGCTAGTTAGATATAGTTATCTTTATAGTTATCGTTCTTGTTGTGAACGGGACTTCACACCGGTTGCTGTAAGCATCACACAACAATGTTAACAGTGCAGGCTTGCTTCTTCTCCAGCCGATATGACATCATCCTGTCTAAGAAGGGGTTAAAACTTTATGGATTGTTCCTTTCGCATGTAGCCGTTCTTTTTGTAGAAATTTCATGTTCAAGATACTTGCATATGAGATAAAGAAACACTATAATTGAGGCAGAACCCATATTGAAGTCTGAAGTTTAATATTAAATCAGTGTATTTTACAACCATACATTTAAAAATGAGCCGACGGCTTACCGCATGCCATTCATTTTTTATGTTGTACAATGAATTTTGTGGGTTCATTTAAAAAATGTACAATGCAATATGAGATATAAAAACATATTTTAACACATTTTGATCTTTAAGACCACATACAAGCTATGTTGTTTGATTTCTATTCAGAGGCGCTGACTGAATGCAATAGTGACAGAAACAGGGCAAATGAAAATATACAATCATTCGTAATTAATGTACGGTCTTTTGTGAATTACTCTTGGAAAAGGTCAACCCACATGTGCACCTGATATTCTCTCACCTTCTTCTCCATCCACAATTTTTCATCTTAAGAAATAAAGCATGCTCTCTGAAGGTCAGGGCCATATCATTTACTTGTTTTATGTCCCAGAGAGACCAACTAAAGCTGAGGGAAGCACAGGAGAGAGAGGTAAAGAATGACAGAAAGAAAGATGAGGCAAATGGGGAGTGTGTGATTGAATGGAGTCAAGTCAAGTCACCTTTATTTATATTGCGCTTTTTACAATACAGATCGTTTCAAAGCAGCTTCACGGTAATAACAGGAAAATAATGCAACAACGTTTGTTTTCTGCTGTACAGCAGATCTAGAAGAAAATAGCGTCAAAGTCCAGCTTGTTCAGTGATGGTTCATTTCTGTTGTGAAAAGTTATTAATTTAGTTCATTTATCTATACAGCTGCTCTGGAGAAAAAGTAATGTCATCGTCCAGCTCAGTTCAGTTCTCATATAATGGTGTCAATGCAGGCAGATCAGTAGTATTGTTCAATTAAATGTCCCCAACTAAGCAAGTCAAGAGGCAACGGCAACATTGACAAGGAACCAAAACTCCATCAGGTGACATAATGGAGAAAAAACCTTGGGAGAAACCATGGCCAAATCACTAAAAATCGACTTCTTTTTGAAAGACATGGAAAATAAGCAGGACTTTCATTGACTGTTGACAGCATTTCACCTCATATATCCTGCAAGACTAATAACGTTGCCACTATAAATGCACTAAATCAACACACAGTAATAGATTCTCAGTCTGCTTTTCTCTCTTTCTCACACACACAACAGAGGAAATAAAGTGTTAATCTATCTTAAAGCTGTTTTAATCCGCTGGCAGCTGTTATGGGTTTTCCTACATCCCGAGTGTCCAATCTCCCATCCAAATGCATACTCTCACTTTCTCTCATTTTTAGTCTCTTGTCACAAATGCCATTTTATTTGGGTATTTCTAGCAGTAATTTAGTTTTACTGTATAACAAAATCTACAAGACAAGGTAAAAAAATATATATTATTTTTCCAATTAATCTCAATGGTTATTTCAACAATCTCAATATCGATTCGTAAAATCCTATCGATCTTATACGCCAGTGTTCTCGCATGAATCAGTGTTTCTAATGAATGTACGCCAACAGTTTTAGATGGTAAGATTTTTTACTGTTTTTTTTAAATAAGTCTCTTCTGCTCACCAAGGCTTCAAATATTTGATCCAAAACACAGCAAAAACAGTAATATTGTGAAATATTTTTTACAATTTAAAATGACTGTTGTTTATTTTATTCCTGTGAATCAAAGCTGAATTTTCAGCATCATTACTCCAGTCTTCAGTGTCACATGATCCTTCAGAAATCAGTCTAATATGCTGATTTGCTGCTCGAGAAATATTTTATCATTATCAATGTTGAAAACAGTTGTGCTGCTTCATATTTTCTATAAACCGTGGTACTTTTTTCAGGATTCTTTGATGAATAGAAAGTTCAAAAGAACAGAATTTGAAAAAATAATTAGCAATTGAACTGAATATTTTGGGCCCTGTTGTTAACTTTTAACATGAAACAGGAAACATTAACAAGAAAGCCTGCACTTACTACAGAAAGAATTCTAGAATTTAACTAGGAAATCTGTATTGACACCCAGTCCTAAAAAATAATAATAATAGTACAGACTCTGGTATAGATAATATAGCCATTTGTTCACTGTGGAAAGTTGCTTCGGTGTCTTTTTTTTTGCAACATAAGGGTTTGCTTTATGAGATATGGCATTAACTGCATATTTCTGGCTGAAGGTTTCCTCAGCTTGAGACCTGCTAGCATTAGTACTAGTTAACGAGGCTCGTGGCTTCAATCCCAACCGCAGCGCACATGATAATCACCATTTTCCCGAGCAGCAGAGCAGTTGGCATTGAAGGAGTGCGACTGCTCCCCTGCAGCTTGAGCCTGTAACACACAGGTGATGTGGGAGCAGAGCCAGAATGGCTCCTTTACAGGCTTGGCCCTGTTTACACCTGGTGTTAAGATGCATTTTGGTTGATCGGATCACAAGTGAACGACACTAAATACAGGAGTAAACGGGGACTAAAACGTTTTCAGCTTGCCCCCTTTCCAGCACTTCCAGAGGTCATCAAAAACCCATTAGACCAGATTGCTTTCGTAGTGTAAACAGTCCGAACACATTCGACCACAAAAGTCCAGCTACTGACCTAATGCTTAAACATTATGGGACGTGCGCTAGCCAGACGAGATTTAAACTTTGTCGACTGAAGACCCAAGTTTGGTTTGAAGATGAAAAACATACCAAACACAATGTTCTCTCACCATTCCTGATTTCACACACTGTAAATGTAAACGGCAAGCTTGTTTTGTCCATTAGATCGAAAGATCTGAAAAAAAAAAAGACCCTCCCCTCGAAGAAATCAGGACAGAAGTGGTTGAAAGTGGACAAAAGAGACGGATAAAACACCAGGTGTAAACGGGAATGTGTCTCCCTCGTCTACTTGTGATCGACCAAAACGCATCTTAAAGGAGAACTCCGGCGCAAAATGAACCTTTGGTCTAATAAAACATTTGTACCTAGTCAACCGTTCTCTGAGATCTGTTTTCATGATAATCTAATGTAAAGAGTTTTATCTCTAAAAACTGTTTAGCGTATAACACTAGTAATGGGTCAACTAGTCAAACCACGAACGACGTGCTAAGTGAGCTGAACTGTATGAATGGCGTTCGTGGTTTGACTAGTCGAGACTGTTTTCCAAAGATGGCTCCTGTCTGTATACACGAAGTGGACTGTCTTTATAAAATATCTTCTTATTAAACGGTCTGTACACTTACAAAGTTCTCAATGCTTCGTTTTGCATGTAGGGACCCTCATTATGTTACTGTGTTAGTGTGGGGCTATTTTGAGCCTTGTTAGTGGTATTAACAAGCGATTTCTTTTTACTTATTAAATGCCCCCATTACTAGCGTTATACACTAAACAGTTTTTAGAGATAAAACTCTTTACATTCGATTATCATGAAAACAAATCTCAGAGAACGGTTGACTAGGTACCAATGTTTTATTAGACCAAAGGTTCATTTTGCGCCGGAGTTCTCCTTTAATACCTGGTGTAAACAGGGTCTAAGGAGCCAAAATGATTCCTTTCATCTCATCACTTTTGGAGAAAAATTAGTTCAGATCATGGAAAGAATGACAGAACAAAGTTACAGGAAATATACAAATAGAATATAATAATTTTTAGTGAATTATGAAAATGAGTGTTGTGTTCTTTGAGGATATGTGACGGTTCCATGTGCATATATTCAGCATATAAATGTGTGTGTAATTGTGTTTGTGTTATATGTACAAAAAATAAGAAAGAAGTAGGTTCTTGTTTGCTAGATACCGGCAGCGATAAGACAGAGGACGAGTAGAAAAGATGTGAGATGACATCCAGGTCTGCTCTGAAAGTATTTTTTTATAATTTGTCTTATTTTTCAGGATCATGCCAACTTGCTTGAGATTTCAGGGCCAGTGCAATCCAAAATCCCTGTCTCTCTGATCACATATAGTAAAGGCGTCTGATTAAGTGACTCTAAACTCTCAGATGGTTCCATTAGGCTGCACTAATGGATTAAAATGAACTTAATTCTACAAAGATTACTGGAGATGAGAGGATCGGAGATGAGACCCGATAGAATTCAGCGGACAAACACACACACACACACACACACACACACACACACACACACACACACACACACACACACTGACAACAGATTGAGTGACTTTGTTAGTCTCATGGAGAATCTACAATGGAACAAAAGTTTTCAATTATTTCAATAGCATTCAGAACATCAGGCCTATAATTATAACCAACCGAGGGGGACACAACCTCTCCAATAATCAGATTTGTTCAAAATTGATATTTGATATTCTATTACAATCTGCTCTGTATGTTGTTAGGATGACAAAACCAGCATTTATTAATATGGCTGTGGTGAGATCTTGTGATATTAAAACGTGACGATATTTCTCATCAAGATGAAAAGCTTGTGATATATCAGCATGATGGAGTTGAGTCTGTGGCAAAACATATTGCATTATATTGTTCTGTCTTTTACTAATAATTCATACTCAGAAAGTAGAACTGAAGTGACATTTATTACAAGATGACCAGTTAAAACATTGCAAAATGCACCTCCATGGTTTTGCATTTTGTGACTCTCAGTTTCAGTTGAATAAAAGACTATTTTTCCAGTAGTATATTTTGTCATTGAAGATTTCTTAAAAATAGTGTTAAAATATCATCTCATCTCGTTCTAGTGAACCCAATATCGTATCATATAGTCTCATCTTGTGAGCTAAGTGTATCGTCACACACGTTAATGGCGGCATCCAAAAACGTAAAAATGCTGCCTTCAGAGGACGCACTCCAAAGTAGAAAGGCATCAAGGCACGTTCAAATCCAGTGTTAGTTTCAGTTCCTGTCTCCTGAGAGACCCTCATCTGATGTATCCTTCACTGCCTTTGATATCCCACAATCCTGTGCGTTCCATTCGGTGACAGTTAAAGAAAGATGGCGTCTGAAAGTTGCGGTTGGTGGTCAGTTACATTTTTGACCAAAATGTTTACTAATTTTCACTTCTGATGTTATTTCTAGCGAGAAATTACTAATTAAATATGTGTTTAGTTCTCACCAAAGCTCGCTCTATTTTGCTGTAGAATAGATCATTAAACTGTTACGCTGCCTCAGAAGTCTGTCGTGAGCAAACACTGCCTGTCATTGCCTAAAAGGCGAAGCAACAAGTCACTGCCTAAGTTTTCGGATGCAGCCAATGTCTGACAGCACTTGTAATTGTCAAAATGTTTAAGAACAGAAGCAGAGCTTGAATCCCATTGCGGCGGAGTTTTAAACTTCCATTTTAACGGTGAAAGAGTGCGCAGCCAAACATTTCATATTTGACAACTGTTTTACCGACCCGAAATGGCTGAATTAATGCAACTTTTTTGTACAATTTTGCTGTTTTGGATTGAAAGTACATAATTATCGTAACCTAATGTGACGTGACAAGAAACATAAACGGAGACATTTTCAGCATATTAGGCATGAGATTAAGAGTAAATTAAAACATTATTTCTAAATAGTAAAAAATAAATGAAAAAAAAACTGTTTTACTTGCTTTTTCCACTTAAATCCCTTTAAGTGCTTTAATTATTTATTTAATATTAATATTTAATTCAATAAAAAGGACCATTACATTTGTGAAATTGTGATATTTAGGCTTACATTTAAATATGTACTTTCAAGACCTGCAACCTTTTGTTTTTACTTTATTTTGGGAGTTCAATATAATGTAATATAATATAGTACTGTTTTCATAATAATATTTTACTTATTATGTCTTTCTCTCTTCTTTTTCTCCATCCTGTCCACTCTTGGAATCCCAGCAGCCCCTATAGAGGAACATGAGGAATGCTCTGCAATACTGCTGTAACACTCACATAGACCTGATGTAAGAGCTCCTAAACTCTAAAACACACACTGCACCTCCTGCATGAGGAGTGTGTAGAGAGCTGTGCATCCATCAACACAGAGTTAAAGGAGAAATGAGAGAAGAACATATGGTGTGAGCCTCCCATGAGCGGCCAAACACACACACACACACACACACATTTGAGAGAGGAGGAACATGTAGCTTCTATTGTCTGATGATGATGATGATAATGATGATAATGACACGTTCACTCCACTAATGATTGAATATGATACACGAGTAACGATCAATCATAGAGCTGTCAGAACCCACACAGGTTGAGACCCTCGACACATTAATCAAAGGCATGTAAAGCGCTGCTTCAGCAAATCCAAACCCAAGAGCCTAACAAGGTCTGTTCAACCATCCTGGTTAGTTCAAGACTCTTCAGCACCGCTGTCTTACAAAGATCCAGTTCCAACGAAAAGTCCATTTAAAATACTTTCTATTTTGTAATTGCTTTTTCTATTCTGTTTGGTGACATTAGAGGCACAGAAATTACACATTTGAGCTTTAAATATCCATGTGAATATTTAAAAGTCAATGCTACATGTCAGCATTGATCATTATTTGTAAATATTATAATAACAAATAATATAACTAATAACAAACAGTAGCGACATTCTGATTGAAACGATATCTAACATAATCATAGTTTTAAAATGTGGGATTCACTGATAGTTTTAAATATCAAAATGTTACAATGAAGTATATCAAAGATTTGAAAGAAATCAACAGTGTTACTAAAGTTAGTAGGATTATAAATGAGTAACTGTAAGTGATTTGGTGATGATAAAGGCAATTTAAATGAAAAAGAAAGTGTGCCGTTACCGATAAATTACAAAAATCACAAAAATCATTGTGCAACCCTATTTAAAATCAATAGTTTCTGCCAGTAAAGAACCATTTAAAACAATAAAAATATAGTGAAAAGACATATTTGCAGTATATAATGTATTTATATCCCACCAGACCTAATAGCGTGAGTTTAAGCTTCATTTTATATATAAACTATGAAAGAAGTCCATGATGGCATTGATTTGAAAACCCAGGGTCTGTAGGTTCCTTTCTCTTCCTAATAATGCATGTCCTTTGTTGCTTGGAAACATAACGCAATAGACTGACCTGAGAATTCAGCAGCTGCCCAACGTGTGTGTGAGAGAGAGAGAGAGAGAGAGAGAGAGAGTGAGAGTGAGAGTGAGTGAGTGAGAGTGTGTGTGTGTGTGTGTGTGTGTGTGTGTGTGTGTGTGTGTGTGTGTGTGTGTGTGTGTGTGTGTGTGTGTGTGTGTGTGTGTGTGTGTGTGTGTGTGTGTGTGTGAGAGTGTGTCACAGTAGCTGCAAACACAAAGGTGTCTAACTACCAATACCAATCTATACGGCATTTGCTGACACTGATCTGATATTTTGTGACTTCCAGATGTTTCAGATCATTCCAGGCCAAATTAACCACTATAAATGTAGACATCCAGTACTTTTGTTTGTCTGTGTCTGTATAAGAGCGAAAGGGAGACTTGTGTGTTCCTGTGACAGGGACAAACAGCCGGAGGAGTCTCTAGCTAGTCAACTGAATAATGAAACACACAAACAAGTTGAAACACAGGATGGATAAACACTGAAAATGGAAAGAGAAAGACAAAACATGGATCACAGGATAGGGCAGGACAACATTATAAGACAGGAACAGGAGAAAGAGAGAAGCTGAGCATTGATACATTATTATAAGCTTAATACTATATCTTCAGTTTGGTGTGTGTGACGACACAAACCAATTTATTTTATGAGAAGGTCAGTAACATATAGGCCTACACAAAGGCAATCATGTTGTCTCAAACCCTTCTTAAACCCTTTCAAAATCTGATTTACTGTAAACTATTGTTGTATATTACAGCAGAATTGCCAGAGAGTATTGAATTAATTGAAGTTAACTTACAAAAACAATAGTTTATCATCATTATTTTGCATATTAAAAACATTAGACTATATATAGGCTAGATAATATATTTTTACACTTGCAAACTGGACCACTTTACTCTCTCAAATCAAAACTTTCAAATCAAATTTTGTCATATGACACTTATTGTGACAGAGGAAGACAGAAATTATAGTTTATCCCCAAAACTCACATACAGTGCACTGCGATAAATGTTGTAGGCCTACTGTATCAAAGTTTCATCACAAAAACCGTCTACAAATCTGAGATTCAATTTTCAATCTCAAGACAACCATCAAAACTCCTAATTAAAAACAATTAATGAGAATGTTGCAATGGTCTAGAGTTTAACATGATCTGACTGTAAGCAGAAACTTATATTTTCAAAACTCTGATCGAAAGGATGAAGGTCATTCAGAAGAAGCGCATAAAAAACTCTCTCAGGTAGCCTACTACAAATTAATTTTTCATCAAGTGCTTTGTTATGTTTAAAGTGTTTTGTCTCAAAAATACATCATGTCGTATTTTTAAGTAAAGATGTATTGATGTAGGATGTTGTCTTACCTCTGTGCGCGCGCACGCAGGACAGCCCGAGCGCGAGCAGCATCAGGATCAATATTCGCTTCATTGTAGTAAAACTCCTCCGTTCTTTCTGTTCTTCCTGATCTTTCTCACACTAACACAACGAGATCAATCAGTGAAGTGTAATATCCTATGTGTATCTAAATAAAATAGCAGAATCAACAATAAGAGTCGCTGAAAGATTTCAGGTGAATTCATTGGATGCTCTGTCGCGTGAAAGAGCTCGAGACTCTGAGTCGAGAGAGAGAGAGAGAGAGAGAGAGAGAGAGAGAGAGAGAGAGAGAGAGAGAGAGAGAGAGAGAGAGAGAGAGAGAGAGAGAGAGAGAGAGATTTCCTCAATAACTACTTGACCACCGCTTACAATTGCTATGTGTCAAATAAAATGCCATTCTCTAAACAGATACTATGTAGGGTTGCTGACAGTGGCACCCAATAAATTGTCTGTTAAATATATATATTTTTAAGAATTAACTTAAAAGCAAAAATTCTGAAAATAGTGATTTTGTTACTCTGTGAAGGATCTTGAAAAGTCGATGTTTGGCTCCACCTGGTGGTCATTTTTGTGAACTACAGTCTGGTACAAGTCTGGTATTTATGTTGCACTTTTAATCGTGCAGAGTTGTGATTCACTAAATAAGATGCAGTTTGTACTTTTTTCTACATTTCCTAAACAATAAGGCAGTGAAATGTGTCGTGTTATTTTCTATTTTTCTTCACTACATTTCAAAGCATCTGGCAGACACCACATTTCAGAAAAAAACATGCTGCATGTAGGCTAATTTTTTTTACTAAAGAAATCGAGACCTAAGAGGCATAATCTTTTATGAACTAATGATATTTTACAGTCTATGGTGTTACCAAAGGCTTTTGCATGCCCATGCATGCGTGTCAACCTGATTCAGTGCAACAATTCAAAGTAAAATACGAATTTCAATATTGATCAACCAGATTTATACAAGAGATTATATATAATTTATTGCATGTGTTTAGAGAAGCACCTGCAGAACATCAATCCTGCAGAACATCAATCCTCCTGTTTACAATTGTTTTACATTTATTCATTTAGCAAAAATACTCTGTATTTCTAACATGTTTTGATTTTGCCAGATTCTTTCAGCCTCTTTGCCACTAGTCTAACGAAGCCAGACCTTCAGACTGACGACAGTTGTCAGTTGTAAACACAACGGCTTTCTTCTTCCACGAGGGGTTTTGGCGTCACGGCATTTGTTTCCACGCGGACCGTTGAAGAACGCGACACACTCGTCTCCCGGAAATCCAGTAGAAGTCAACCAATCAGATCGCGACTTCGAAACTCCTGAAGTGTTTCCAGAAAAGTGTGAGGCTGAGACTACTTTGCCACAAACCATTTCACAAGCTGCGGTGAAGCTACAAACTCCAACAACAACAGTGAACCTGCAAATGTTGGGAATATAGTTGTGACAACTGTATTAAATACATAGAGATTGCGGACATGAATCTTCCAAACCATGCAGCAATAAACATAAAGATGCTGAGGAACAAAGCGGTTGGTGTTCTTTCTTGATTCTTCATAATTACCGGTAACTGCTGAGAAACACTGAAGTAACAAACCCTCAGTTCTCCAGATGTGGTGGCTGTAGTTATAAAATCATAGCTGAGATCATATGAGTTGTGAACTTGACCTCTGTTGCTTTTTGTGATTAAATAAGGATTCTTTTTTTCTTTTTCTTTTTTCTTCCTTAAAATTATTTTTTTAAACTAATTCTAACAATGAAATATGTTGCCTACATTTCAGATGAAATGAAAGTGCAAGAAAGGCCTCATCTGTGTCCAGTGTGTGGAAAGAGTTTTTCACGGCTGTCCAACTGGACGAAGTACCAGAAGATCAATTATTCAAAACAGTAGAACAACATGAAAATCACCACATTGGTAGTCAGTGAGATGTAGAACAATAATTTGGTGGAATTTGCAGAATTTTTTTTTTTTTTAATGAATTTATTAATATTGCTGTATAACAAGGTATACAGTATAGGACTTTGACAGACAATTATTAAATAATAAAACAGTAGATAAATATGAAAATCACCACAGTGGTAGTTAGTGAGATGAAGAACAATAATCTGGTGAAATTGGCAGAAAACAATTTGATTTAAACATTTTATGAATTTATTAAATATTGCTGTATAACAAGGTATACAGTATAGGACTTTGACAGACAATTATTAAATAATAAAACAGTAGATCAATATGAAAATCACCACAGTGGTAGTCAGTGAGATGAAGAACAATAATCTGGTGGAGTTTGCAGAAAACAATTTGATTTGCATTTTTTAATGAATTTATCAAATATGCCTATATAGCCAGGTATACAGTATAAGACTTTGACAGACAATTATTAAATAATAAAACAGTAAAACAACATGAAAATCACCACAGTGGTAGACAGTGAGATGTAGAACAATAATCTGGTGGAGTTTGCAGAAAACAATTTGATTAGCATTTGTTATGAATTTATTAAATATTGCTGTATAACAAGGTATACAGTATAGGATTTTGGGAGGCAATTATTAAAGAATAAAACAGTAGATCAACATGAAAATCACCACAGTGGAAGTCAGTGAGATGAAGAACAATATTCTGGTGGAATTTGCAGAAAACAATTTGATTTAAATTTTTTATGAATTTATTAAATATTGCTGTATAAAAAGGTATACAGTCTAGGATCTTTGGCAGTTAATTATTAAATAATAAAACAGTAGATCAACATGAAAATCACCACAGTGGTAGTCTGTGAGATGTAGAACAATAATCTGGTGGAATTTGCAGAAAACAATTTGATTTTAATTTTTTATGAATTTATCAAATATGCCTATATAGCCAGGTATACAGTATAGGACTTTGGCAGTTAATTATTAAATAATAAAACAGTAGATCAACATGAAAATCACCACAGTGGTAGTCTGTGAGATATAGAACAATAATCTGGTGGAATTTGCAGAAAACAATTCGATTTTATTTATTTTATTATGAATATTTTTTCAAAAGTCAGCCGACAGCAACCGCATACACCTTGAGTCTACCACGCAACCTCGTGTAGACGCGCAATATATTTTTAAGCGTAGATGGCGTGACCGCGCTTTTCTGAAGCACAGATGGCGTGACCGCAGTGAAATACTGCGTAATTGTAATGAGCACTCAAACACACCAAACCAACAATTGCTAAAAACACACACAAAAAAATTATTTTGCACGGGCATTTTGCACTAGTAAACTTAAAGTCAAATGAAAGATTTGAAACAAGTTTAAGCAAAACAAAGAACTCAGATATTTAGATCAACACTATGAGTGTGATATTCCTTTTACAACAGTAACGGTGTGTTCAAAATGATACATCTCATGTGCAAAAACAGGTCAGTTGTGAAAAGTGTAGAGATGTGAAGCACAGCTCACACAGAAGTCACTTTCAAACAAGCAGCTTTCTGTTGATCAGCGCAGCGAATTCACAAGACAAACTTGAACACAAGCAAACTCATTTTCACCCTTAATCAAAACTCTCGATTGCGAGGATTTCCTTTAAAGTACAATCTTTTGGATCCTGAAGTCAGTCACAAAACAGATATTTTCAGGGTTTATCAAAGTCAAAAAGACAATTAACTAAATTAATAATAATATATACAGAAAATACATCTAAATCAGGGGCGTAATTTGTGGGGGGGATGGGGGGGATATAACCCCCCCCAATATTTAAATCAATGCATTACAACCCCCCCATTATTTATACCATAATCACAATATCAGGAGGCATACCCAAACTTCAACCCCCCAAATGTTCAAACCAAATCTACGCCCTTGATCTAAATGATTAGTGAGGCACTGAAAGGAAAAGTCTTGGCCACAATCAGAAATTATGGGCATTTTATGTGTTGATGTTATTAGTGTCTTTGTATTGCAGTTTTCATCCAGGTTTGATTGTATTAACAAGGGAAGGATGGAACTAAATTCCAATACTTGATACACACAAACAAGTAGTTGCTGTCTTGATTTGAACTGATTCAATCCACCTTATCCTGGACGAGCCCCCATTTGTTACGTTTCTAGTTCATAGTTTAGGGGGGAAATAGAAACAAGAAAATAATAAAGATTAGGGGAGACGTTGATGTGTCTGTCTCCAAACCCAGAGATATGACACAACACCTTTTTGTTGTGAAAAACTCCCACATAGGACACAAATGTAGCCTCTGAACTTTCTTAACCTGCATGAACTTCAGGTGTTTTTTTGTTGAGAAACTTTTTTCAATACTGTAAATGGCTTTACATTGCAACGCATGATGATTGAGACCTGTTAGGAAAACTCTTTACTCATTAACTGTAAATGAAAGACTTTTTTTGAAAGACAAAAATGATAGCCGTAAAGCGATCTTTTATTTAACAGACAAAAAAGATTAAAATAATAACGTGTAATTAGTGAAAATATAATACAAATTACCTCAAGAATTGGGAGCCCAAAAATAACAAACAAATGAAAATAATCCGCTAACTAGTTTGAAAAGAGACTAATTTACCTAAAAAAAAAAAAAAACTTCTTTTTATATTATTTCTATTACACCTTTAGGTTAAAAATAAGGTGGAGGGTCAATGTTAAGACCTAAATAAAGTGAAGTAACATGCATAACATCACAAAAAATATAATTTATCACAAAACAGACAAACAAAAACACCAAGTCTTTCATTTGCCGTCAATGAGGAAAGAGTTTTCCTAACAGGATACGTATCAATCATCATGCACTGCAATGTAAAGCCAAGTTTCTCAACACAACTGGAAGAAAAAAAACTGAAGTTCATGCAGGTTAAGAAAGTTCAGAGGCTACATTTGTGTCCTGTGAGAGTTTTTCACAAAAAGGCCACATTAACAAATACATTCACACCAGAAAAAAAAGCTTCATACATGTTTCAAAGATACATCAGGTATGTGCAGTTAATCTGGAGAAAATCGATTTAATAATATAAGAATACTATAAGAAACCCTTGATCCCAGTTCTCCAGTTGAGAGAGCTGGATATGTTTCCTAATATAGAGAGAATGCACGACTTCATTTAATAAATTCAATAAAACTCATTGGAGGCTAGCCTATTTAAAATGTTGAGCCATTCTAGCGTCGAACCATTGGAGTTTATAAACTTTTGGAGACTGACCTTGCGAAGTCTTCGTTTTTTCTAAAATCACGTGACTTGCCCAGTTTTGGACACGTGCTCCGAAACACAAATTCAAAACAAAAGATTAGCAAAGTGTTTCGAAAGCTCCGATCTCTAGTTCAAGTTGCCATGAGTATCTTTCAACACTACTAAGTCAGTGAAGAGTGAAGACCATAGACTGTAAAAAAAAAAATAGGTAAAGACACAAAACGTGCCCGTCCTGTGACGTAATCATCGCTCGTGTCACACAAATCGAAAGTAAATGTTCAGAGTTGATGTTCGCCATTTTAACAACCAGAATCGATTCTTTGAAATATGTTATGCGTTTAATTGGAACATTTGTAATGAATTTGCGTTTAGCTACTTGAAAGGTGAAGATTATAAAACGAAAGAAAATATTATCGGGTTTGAAGCGCCTTTAGTGTGACTTCTACTAACTTACATAGCCTAAAGTGTTCTCTGAAGGACCGTTTAATTCTTCGGGTTAGGTTTAGGTATGATACCATTGACACGTGTTTGCTGGCACGCGCGGGGGTGGGGGGGTTGGGGTTAGCACCTGCCCCTTTGCCTCTTGGTGCCCAAAGTGCCGTTTTGTCAAAGAAAAAAATCCTCTATAGACAATTTTTTTTTAATTAAAGGCCCTTTTGTGAATGCCTGCCTATGCCAAATCTAAATATTAGTAAAATGAATGAATAATAATTTAGGATTGTATAAAAATGATCCAGATTATGACCTTTCACCTGACGACGACCTCATCCGACCGGGGACTATTCCTCACGCCGCACGGCCGCAACAACACGCGCATTTTTTAATTACCGGAAGATATCTTCAACACCGCGAACGCGGCAGCTGGTAAGTGGTGATTCATTCCCAGTGAAGTGATTTTGATGTTTATTTACTTATTATTATTATTATTATTTTACAAGAACGATGTGAAGAGAGCATGCAGATATGTTGTATATATTGCTGTGTGTAGCCTGTTTGAGAGAGAAAAGTTTCACTCACAGGCGTCGAGGGGTCTTGTCTTTTTTATGCCATTTGACTAAATTATTATTATTACAGTATTTATTTAAAAAAAAAAGTAGAGTGCCTTAAAATAATTATCACAACAACACTGATAGGGCTTATACTGATTTTCTCATTCTCTGAATTATCATTATAAAAATAAAACAATTCAGAACAGGATTAAAATAATATTTTAAATATGACAAAAATATATTTTCTTTCTTCAACAGCAAAGACCACTATAGCCTGTAAACTCAATAATATCTGTTAATAAACTCAATAATAAATCAGATTAATGCTACATTGTGATTTTTAGTAGGTGCCAACAGAATTAACACACACATACAGTTTAGTTTCCTTATTTATATTTTTGATTAGACATAATCAATCAAAATGCAACTTGAAATCATGATCACAGTATTGTGTACTGTGTAGACACACAAACACACACACCTCTGTCTATAGATGTTTGTGTCTCACTCATTAATGTTTTTTTTTTTTCTCAGATAATTTTACTTTTTTGAATCTGGTTTCTTATTTTCTCTACTCTTTCTTATGCATCACAGCATTTGCTGCCATATCAATAGCCTAGAATCATCCGTATCGATACGCGAATCAGCAAGGAATGCGTCACGATATATTACTGTATTGATATTTTGAGCACCGCGCTATTTAATGCCTTGGTCTCTGCACGGCCCTGCTTGTTTGATATTATTTTTATATATTTGTATGTGTGTTTGAGTGAACGTCTCCATCTCGTGATCCTGTTTCTGCCCCTTACAGCTGATTTACTGTGTTTGTCATTTCCATCCAGAGTCAGTGTTGGAGATCAGATTCTTTTTCAGCTGTTCAGCTTCATCATGGATGACACACACACATCCAGAGATAAAGATTTTTCTCCAGATGGCAGGTACTTTGAATAAATATAAATTACATTTAAAATGTAAAATATGTTATTATTAAAGGTGACCTATAATTCAAAATTGAATTTACCTTGGTATAGTCAAATAACAAGAGTTCAGTGCATGGACATGACATAGAGTGAATCTCAAACTGGACTGTTTTCGCGTTCTCATTTAATTCACGTTTATGAAAAACACCCCTGAAAAACGGTCGGTTCTCCACACAATACCGACTGTGACGCAATAGTCGGGATCATTAATATGTATGCCTCCAAATATTTGCATAATGCCAGCCCTCAATGCCAGGCGGAACTGCGCAGCCGAAGCATGGCAGTTGCTCAGTGTGGATGTACACATGAACACAAAAGTATTTTTTAGTTCCTTCATCTGAGCCTCTGAAGAAACAATGGGTTAATTTTATTTTCTCTGAAAATTTCCAAACATTTCACCGAGTGTTTCCTCAACTTGGGCCAATACAGAGCTGGCCTCGGATCGAGCTACCAAGCAACACTTTCTGATGAGTAATTGTTCAAGTTCAGACAGGTAATCTTTCTCTCAAAATCGTTCAATACTGTTTATGCATCAGTAAGTCAAGCCAGTGACTAAAATATCAGCTTCACATCGTTTCTTTTAGTAGGATGAAAATAATCGTATTTAAATTGTGAACAAATTATATACAGAAAGCGATCAAAGAACAATCTTTCCACACAGCGCGAGTTTATCTGGACACTTGCCAAACTCTTTATGAAATCAATGACGCACGTTACTGCACAACGAAGCTCTTACTGTATTTACATCATCGTGTTTGCATTGGTGAAAGCAGAGAGAGTGCAGAAACTGCTTTGCAATGATAAGATCTTCATTCTCGCGCTCAACAGACTGTCATCTGCTCAATGCTCATCACGGCAACATTTTATGTGATGGGAATAGATCTAAAAACTTTAAAAACATCTCACGATTCGTTAATCTCGATAGCTGTTATAGTAAAAACGTATAATAGCAGTAGTAAAAGTATTCGGGAGAGAGTTTCACATGTAATGCGTTGCTATTTCATATGCAAGCATGTCAGCCAATCACAGCAGTGGCCGCGGTTACACTGAATCCCACAGCAGACACGCCCCTTCAAACAGAGTGTTCAAATCAGAGGCTAAAAGCAGGCTAGGAAAAATGCCATTTATTTCTAAATTATGATTATTTTTTATCTAAAAAACATACTAACATTATAAGGGTAACCCAGGAAACATTATAAAATAAAATAAAAAAAACATTCTAGGGCACCTTTAAGTTAAAATTTAAAGTTGTATTACAAACAATACCAGCCTAAAGTGCTTTTGATGTAAAATACTTTTTAAAGACCTTAAAATTAAAAATTATTATAACCATAAAGTATCAGATCTGTTCTGTTATAGTTCATTTCATCAGAAGAGATCAGAACCAGAGCCCAGCTGTGTGTCTATGAAGAGTGACGCGTCTATGGATCGGCCAGTAAATTTTAAGAGTGTGGATACAAAGTCTGATCTAAGGTATAACATTTTTATAAAAATATGTTAATAGTATGCCATTATGTATTATCAGAATAGTATTCTGATATTGAATAATTATTTTTGTACATTGTTTATTTTTATTTTTATCTGATATTTTAATGTATAGTGTTGCTCACACAGACACATCTATGAGAGTGCTTAGTTAAATGTACAGTTTTTGGATCAACACAGAAACATTGTAAGGTTTTTTATTTGCGCAATGGATAAAATAATTTAAGTGTTTTTTTTTGTTTTAAATACAGTGTTTAGAGCATTCACTTTAATTTGTTATAGTTCTCTATGTTATTCTCTCTTCTTGTTATAGTTCATTTCATCAGAATAGATCAGAACTAGTAGAGCCCAGCTGTGTGTCCATGAGGAGTGGCGCGTCTGTGGGTCATATAATAGAATTTAAGAGTGGAGATACACAGACTGACCTCAGGTATAACGTTTCTGTAAAAGATGATTTGATTATGATACAGAAAAGACTTATGGCTTATTAACTCGTGTAATAATTTGGTATGTTAATTTTACAGCCATGAAGTCCTCAACATGTTTAGATCAAATCTGATGAAGAAGTTTGAGTGTCTTTATGAAGGAACAGCAAATCAGGGAAACCCAACACTCCTGAATGAGATCTACACTGAGCTCTACATCACAGAGAGTGAGAGTGGAGAGATCAGTAATGAACATGAGGTGAGACAGATTGAAACACAATCCAGGAGAGCAGCAACAGAGGACACACAGATCAAATGCAATGACATCTTTAGACCTTTACCTGGACAAGACAAACCCATCAGAACTGTGCTGACGAAGGGAGTCGCTGGCATTGGAAAAACAGTCTCTGTGCAGAAGTTCATCCTGGACTGGGCGGAAGAGAAAGAGAATCAGGACGTCCAGCTCATATTTCCACTTCCTTTCAGAGAGATCAATCTGATGAAGGACAAAACACTCAGTCTTTCAGATCTTCTTCATGTCTTTTTCCCTGAAACTAAGGAAATAGAAATATCCAGTGACAAATATAAAGTGTTGTTCATCTTTGATGGTCTGGACGAGTGTCGTCTGTCTCTGGATTTTCAGAGCAATGTGAGGTTGTGTGATGTAAGTGAATCAGCTTCAGTGGACGAGCTGCTGACGAACCTCATTGTGGGGAATCTGCTTCCCTCTGCTCTCATCTGGATCACCTCCAGACCAGCAGCAGCCGATCTCGTCCCCTCTGAGTGTGTCCATCGAGTGACAGAGGTACGAGGGTTCAATGATCCACAGAAGGAGGAATACTTCAGGAAGAGAATCAGTGATCAGAGTCTGGCCAATACAATCATCACACACCTGAAGTCCTCAAGGAGCCTCTACATCATGTGCCACATCCCAGTGTTCTGCTGGATCTCAGCCACTGTTCTGGAGAAGATGATGAGCGAAGCAGAGAGAGGAGAGATTCCCAAGACTCTCACTCAAATGTACACACACTTCCTGATCCTTCAGACCAACATCAACCATGAGAAGGACTATGAGAAGAACGTGACAGATGAAGACATGATCCTCAAACTGGGGAAACTGGCTTTTCAGCAGCTTGTGAAAGGCAATGTGATCTTCTATGAGGAAGACCTGAGAGAGTGTGGTATTGATGTGACAGAAGCATCAGTGTACTCAGGATTGTGCTCTCAGTTCTTCAGAGAGGAGTTTGGTTGGTATCAGGGGAAAGTCTTCTGCTTTGTTCATCTGAGCGTTCAGGAACATCTAGCGGCTCTATATGTGCACCTCTCCTTTATAAACACCAACACAAATGTGTTTGACTCAATCACTAAACAGAGTTTGCGGTCTAAAGTTAAGGACTGGTTTCGACAAAATTCATCAGAACATGTTTCATTATCTGACCTACATAAGAGAGCTGTGGATGAGGCTCTACAGAGTAAAAATGGACATCTGGACCTTTTCCTGCGGTTCCTTCTGGGTCTGTCAGTGGAGTCTCCTCAGATTCTCCTTCAAAGACTAATGAAACAGACAAGAACATCTGACAGCAATGTGGAAACAGTTGAGTATATCAAGAAGAAGATCAGGACCATTGACTCTCCAGAGAAATCCATCAATCTGTTCCACTGTCTGAATGAACTGGGTGATCATTCACTAGTGGAGGACATACAACAGTATCTGAAATCTGGAAGAATAAGTGAAGCCAAACTCTCTTCATCTCAGTGGTCAACTGTAGCTTTTGTGTTGTTGACATCAGAGGAGAAGCTGGATGAGTTTGATATTAATCATTTTGTTGGAAGAGACAATAAAACTGAAAAACTAAAGTTTTTTCAGAAGCTGCTTCCTGTGATTAAAGAATCCAGATTAGTTCGGTAAGTATCAATCAAAAAAAATCAGTTCACTGTTAAAGGTACAATATGTAAGAATTTTGTAATAAAATATCCAAAAATCACTTGCACAGTGGGATATATTTCCTGCAGTTGTGTACTTACAATATCCCAAAAGTCTCCAAAGATTTTTTTATTTCAGACAAATTTTAAATAAGTGGCCGTCCCGGAAAAAAATGTCGCCTGTCAATGACGCAATATCCGCGCTATCCTCGGTTTCCGCTCGTACTGCCATAGCCGTGACGTAACCATGGCGACAGACGTGGACAACTGCGTAGTGCGTAACGTTTAGCGGCACGCAGTTCTTGTTTCTTTCAAACGTAGACCATGGCAAGCAGACTTTGGGACAAACAAGGAGAACTAAAATGAGGATCAATATCAGCGTGGCGTTTTTGAGATGCCGAGAGCTAGCGTCCGCGACTAACTTGGACTCGACAGAGCTTCACGAGTCACGACTTGACAGCTTTATTAGACAGGTGAGCAAATGTACATGAAACAAATCAATGTTATATAACGTTAGCTCGACATGATGAAATGTTAGAATATGGTCAGTATGTTATTCTAATGTTGATCTAGCTTACTGCTAGTTTCGTATAGCAAACGAACTAACACGTAGTATAACATTATAACTTTCAACACACATTTAAATGCCGTTTAGTGTGATAGTTTAACGTTAGACCAAGTGAAGCAGCGCTGCGTTACCTCACAAGATTAATTCGTCTAATAAACTGACCTGTGTGAGTAATCTAGCACTTGCGGGTAGTTCGGTAGAATTAAATGTCCTTACTCCTTTATATCCGCGAAACTCGAGTGTGATATCTGTCTCTTTAGCAATCGCGACCTGGTTCATACCACTGTAATGTTAAAAAACATGAATGTTTGCACTCATCCATAAACATTATTAGATCCATCAGCTTGACAGCAAGTCCCATCATTCAGCTCATCACTGCGTCATAAACCTACGCCTTTGTTATTGTTGGAAACTGCGCCCTATTTTGGCGAAAAAATCTTACATATTGTGCCATTAAAACATTAGGAAAATAAAAGTTCATAAATCTTCAGTGCTGCAGATGTTGTCTAGAGTTCAGTGGTCAGTATTTTATATTGTTTCCTAAACCGTGCCGTTTTGCAGCGTGTAATTGGCCATCGGTCCTCTCAGCAGCAAGAAAAACAAAACTTATTCAATGGATTATGTATAGCCTAGAAAGATCGCTTCCTTTGCAATAATTAAAAGCTGTCACTCATCTCAGTTCACAATCTCACAAAGTTCCATTATAAAAAATAAATATGTCTACACTGCATAAATAAAAATTTGTTAATGAAAGGATTTGCGAACATGCAAAAACTCAATGCAACGCTCTACTGTTTGAGCTACAGGAAACCATAGTTGGCTAACAATGCTTTTGGGAAACACAACACTGATCCGCACTTCTCTTGCCAGATTGAAGCCATGATAGCAGTTTTATCAAACTTTTCATCATTTCATCCACCAGTAAAATAATATTTAATTCCTCTGCTGCGTACCACTAGAGAGAGTTTGCGTATCACAGTTTGAGAATCAGTGGAATAGAGTCATTTATTAAAGCAGATTTTGCACAAGACTGACTTTTAATATAGTGCAAATAAGAGATTATTTTCCTGATTAATATTAAATTCCTCCTTAAGATGTTTTATGTTCATGTTTTGTGACATTTTATATCTCAATCTAATGATCCATCAAACATATTAATTTGTGCTTTTAGTTTGAACTTTCTTTTAATGGATTCACTGCTAAACTGATCTGATCTGAACTGAGAGAGTGAAGAGTGTGTCGTTGTTCTCTACAGGTTGAGGGATTGTGGCGTCACAGATGAAGGTTTTGCTGCTCTGACTTCAGCTCTGAGATCAAACTCTGAACACCTGAGAGAACTGGATCTGTCTGAGAATAAAATAGGAAAATCAGTGAATCTGCTGTCTGATGTACTACAGAATCCTCACTGTAAACTGGAGAAACTGTGGTAAGATCATATTAGACTCTCACACATGAATCACAATGTAAAGTATATTTGAAGTGTTCAGCCTCTTTCTGCTGCTGTGAGTTCAGCTGATTGAGCTGTAAATGATTGAACACATGAGCTGATCCTCAATAACATGAAACTGCAGGACTGAGAGTGACACTGAAATACACATTTTCACACACAATCAAATGTAAAATGAAAACACACACACATATGCATTAATTAATACTCCATAGTACAGATCTAAGTAACATATTAAAACACACACACACATGCACTAATTGATACTCCATAGGCTACTTTTACTATGTTACTTAGATCTGTACTATGTAGTGAATAGAGCAGTCATTCTCAATTTTTACACCAAGTACCACCTCAGAAAATATTTGGCACTCCAAGTATCACCATAATGACCAATATTAAAATACAGTAGCGTAGTTGGCCTAACTATTCAGCTACAGCTATGACCAGCTCAAAACAAGGCAGGTTTATTCCTTATAATAATTTTTTTAATGTCAGCCACTTTAAACATTGTAAATACACAGTTTGAACATTAACACTGCATTGTGCTGCTTACATGCAGGTAAATAAAAACTTAAATAATGATTAAATTAAAATGTACTGTACCTAAATGCTTTCATGCATTCATTGCTAAGAACTTTGCCACATAACACACACTGCGGCCTGGGCTCTTCCTCTCTCCCACTCCAAATAAATCCAAATTTGATGTAGTTCGAGTCATAATTATTAATAACTTAATGAATCTCTTTGAGATCGAATTAATGCTAAATGTTTTGCTATAAATTACGGACATGGCATCTGAGGACTATTTCTCTCTTTCTTTTCAGTCATTTTGCTTTATTTCCAGATTCAATCATAGGTTCGTTCTTACGTAGGCTACTAGAGCACGTACTCACATGCGCACACTTAAAATAACAATGCTTTAAATCTCTTGACAAACTAAAAGATGTAAATTATATTTGTATGACATCTAAATAAAAGATACAGATTGTACTGAATAGCTTGCTTATTTAGCTCAAGATAAGGATTTATTGAGTCCACATGCCATGAAAACTAGAAACTATTCTTCTAACCACAGGTCGAGAGCTGTCGTTCCAACCACACAACTTTGCGATTGTTCGTTAAAACAATGGTTTCGGGAAACACTGACTTGTTGAACTACGTTGGTAACGACGGAACATGCAACCATTTTACATTACATTTACATTTATGCATTTGACAGACGCTTTTATCAAGGTACACATTTACATTCTTATCAGTTCTTGCTTTCCCTGGGAATCGAACCCATGACCTTGACGTTGTAAGCGGCAACGCTCTACTGTTTGAGCTACAGGAAACCATAGTTGACTAACAATGCTTTTGGGATACGCAGCACTGATCCGCACTTCTTGCCAGATTGAAGCCATGATAGCAGTTTCATCGAACTTTTCATCATTTCATCCACCAGTAAAATAATATTTAATTCCTCTGCGTACCACAGTTTGAGAATCAGTGGAATAGAGTCATTTATTAAAGCAGATTTTGCACAAGACTGACTTTTAATATAGTGCAAATAAGAGATTATTTTTCCTGATTGAATGATACTTAAGATGTTTTATGTTCATGTTTTGTGACATTTTATATCTCAATCTAATGATCCATCAAACATATTAATTTGTGCTTTAAGTTTGAACTTTCTTTTAATGGATTCACTGCTAAACTGATCTGATCTGAACTGAGAGAGTGAAGAGTGTGTCGTTGTTCTCTACAGGTTGAGGGATTGTGGCGTCACAGATGAAGGTTTTGCTGATCTGACTTCAGCTCTGAGATCAAACCCTGAACACCTGAGAGAACTGGATCTGTCTGAGAATAAAATAGGAAAATCAGTAAATCTGCTGTCTGATGTACTACAGAAACCTCACTGTAAACTGGAGAAACTGTGGTAAGATCATATTTGACTCTCACACATGAATCACAATGTAAAGTATATTTGAAGTGTTCAGCCTCTTTCTGCTGCTGTGAGTTCAGCTGATTGAGCTGTAAATGATTGAACACACGAGCTGATCCTCAATAACATGAAACTGCAAGACTGAGAGTCACACTGAAATACACACTTTCACACACAATCAAATGTAAAATGAAAACACGCACATGCGCACACACACACACTAATTGATACTCCATACATATTGCATAGTACAGATCTCAGTAAATCTAATCTATGTAGTGAGTAGAGTAATTTATTAAAGCAGATTTTGGACTGACTTTTAATATAGTGCAAATAAGAGATTATTTTTCCTGATTGAATGATACTTTAGATGTTTTATGATCATGTTTTGTGACATTTTATATCTCAATCTAATGATCCATCAAACATATTAATTTGTGTTTTAAGTTTGAACTTTTTTTTTAATGGATTCCAGTGGGTGGACGAAGTACACATACCATGTACTTGAGTAAAAGTAAAGATACTCAAGGTAAAATATTACTCAAGTAAAAGTAGAAGTGCTGCCTTTAAACATTCACTTGAGTAAAAGTACAAAAGTATTTGCCTTCAAATGTACTTAAGTATCCTAGTACTTAGATTTTTTTATGGCTATAATGTCCTATTATAATTTGTCACAAGACTCTTGCTTAACTCAGTCTAAGTGAAGATTGATGTCACGCTTGGCATACCAATCTATTAATGAAATGACATTAATTAGTCTGATATATATATATACTATATATATATATATATATATATATATATATATTATATATATATATATTTGAATTTAATTATTTTTTTGTGTGTTTAATTTTGGAGGGAAGGGGACTGTTCCCATAAGGTATAAAACATTTACAGTATTTACTGTATATATTTTTCTCCAGCGCCTATGGTCATAATTAACATCTTAATGTTATGAAACATTCACATGAACCTGCACAACGCCATTAAATATATATACACACACACACATATACACATACACATACGCGCGCGAATATATATTCTAACATAGAATATATATTCTATATTCTATGTTATGGGAACAGCCAATTTCCCTCCAAAATTAAACACAAAAACGTATTAATGCAGTGTTTCTGCTAGGCTACTCCCCAGAAAAAAAGCTATTATATGCAAGTCATTTTAGTGGCAACCTAAGCAATGTACATTATGCGTCAATAGCCTACTTACCGATAATTGCTGCAATAATAGCTCCTGCTCTCTGTCCCGCTTAAAATCATTGTCAACTCGATTTGTTTGGAACTATTGAGAGCTACACGAATAACGTGACCACGCGGCGGCGAGATCACTGTCACAACCATCTATGTTCGAAACTCTCATATTTAACGGCTCTGATTCACGCTTCGTAGATACCGCCAAGGCAAGTTCAAAACAAAGCGCGCACGCTGTACTGTGATTGGTGGCTCGTTTGACCAGTTACGTTTTTATCCACTCATAAATAAAAAGGAACGACTGATTTTGAAAATGTAGTAGAGTAAAAAGTAAGATATTTGACTTTGAAATGTAGGGGAGTTAAAGTAAAAGTCTCCCAAAATTTATCCCAAAAAGCTTCTTAAGTACAGTAACGAATTACATTTACTTCGTTACTGTCGTGTCCACCACTGATGGATTCACTGCTAAACTGATCTGAACTGAGAGAGTGAAGAGTGTGTCGTTGTTCTCTACAGGTTGAGGGATTGTGGCGTCACAGATGAAGGTTTTGCTGCTCTGACTTCAGCTCTGAGATCAAACCCTGAACACCTGAGAGTATTGAATCTGTCTGGGAATAAAATAGGAAAATCAATGAATCTGCTGTCTGATGTACTACAGAATCCTCACTGTAAACTGAAGAAACTGTGGTAAGATCATATTAGACTCTCACACATGAATCACAATGTAAAGTATATTTGAAGTGTTCAGCCTCTTTCTGCTGCTGTGAGTTCAGCTGATTGAGCTGTAAATGATTGAACACATGAGCTGATCCTCAATAACATGAAACTGCAGGACTGAGAGTCACACCGAAATACACACTTTCACACACAATCAAATGTAAAATTAAACACACACACACACAAACATGCACTAGTTGATACTCCATAAATCTTACATAGATTAGATTTACTGAGATCTGTACTATGTAATGAATAGTCATTTATTAAAGCAGATTTTGCACAAGACTGACTTTTAATATAGTGCAAATAATAGATTCTTGTTCCTGATTGAATGATACTTTAGATGTTGTATGATCGTGTTTTGTGACATTTTATATCTCAATCTAATGATCCATCAAACATATTAATTTGTGCTTTAAGTTTGAACTTTTTTTTAATGGATTCACTGCTAAACTGATCTGAACAGAGAGTGAAGAGTGTGTCGTTGTTCTCTACAGGTTGAGGGATTGTGGCGTCACAGATGAAGGTTTTGCTGATCTGACTTCAGCTCTGAGATCAAACCCTGAACACCTGAGAGAACTGGATCTGTCTTGGAATAAAATAGGAAAATCAGTGAATCTGCTGTCTGATGTACTACAGAATCCTCACTGTAAACTGGAGAGTCTGTGGTAAGATCATATTAGACTCTTACACATGAATCACAATGTAAAGTATATTTGAAGTGTTCAGCCTCTTTCTGCTGCTGTGAGTTCAGCTGATTGAGCTGTAAATGATTGAACACATGAGCTGATCCTCAGTAACATGAAACTGCAGGACTGAGAGTCACACTGAAATACACACTTTCACACACAATCAAATGTAAAATTAAACACACACACACTGAAAAGGATTAAGGGGATAGCAAGGTAGCTAGCTTGAAGCCAATGGGGCTGTCGGTAAGAACAGGTCCAGTCTAGTCACTCAGGTATCAAATTCTTTATTTCTTTTTGTGTGCGTGTGGTTTCTACAAAGGAACATAGGAAAACAGCATTTAAGGTTACAATAAACAATATATGAGGCATCTACTCATACTATAAAGTTTATCAAATATACATCTAAATAACTAGACAATGCCTAAACAGGAAATATAGCAAGCATAAAAAAACACCTTTAAAGACAAATCTAAGAAATACAGAAGTATCAAACAAAAGGCACTTACATGGTCAATTACGCACACGCAGGAACTCAGTCCTCTGCACAGTACATCCATGTGCTGCAAACAGAAGTAACATGCTGTGGGCACAGGTGCAGTTAATAAAGCCAGATATAGAGTCCTGATTGGCTAAGAAATCAGGTGGGTGGAGCTAGAGTTAATATGAAAATTAACAGGCTAAGAGGCATTAACATGCTTTGCACCTTGTGGATTAAGGGACACAAAACTTCTCAACAGCCGCCCCCAAATTTGTATAGCAAATTTGATCAATCAGGGAATATCCGGTAGGGCTGAAAGAGGGATGAGGCGAGCAACGGGCCTTGTATATGTCCTGTCCTTGATTTGTACATCAGCAACCCTACAACGACCATCCTTGCTAGGATAAAGGGCGATGACCTTACCGACTGACCATTGGCATCTGGGAAGTTGAGGATCTAGAATCAGAACAAAAGTATTAGGTTGCAGGTTAGGATGGTCTGTGCGCCACTTTTGTCTGGACTGAAAAGAGGGAAGAATTTCTAAGGAAATGGGCCCAAAAATGATCAGAAAGGATCTGACTGTGACGCCATTGACGGCGACTGTGCAGCTCAGAGTCTGGATATGTAACCAGAGGAAGGTAAGCATCATGCCGCCACATAAGCAGCAAGTTAGGGGTCACAGGGTCAGGATCAGCAATGTCAGATGACACATAGCCTATGGGCTTGGAATTTAAGATGCCTTCAATTTCAACCATGACTGTGCGTAGTACCTCCTCACTGACAATTTGAGCACCTAGGGTAGTCTCTAGAGCAATTTTGATGGAGCGTATTTCACGCTCCCAGCTTCCCCCAAAGTGAGGTGCGTGTGGAGGATTGAATTTGGAAGAAATTCTCTGCCTGGCCAGAGGTTCCTGAAGGTCAGGGGTTAGGGATTGATAGGCGTCTAGTAGCTCTCTCTTGCCTCCAATGAAGTTGGTACCTCTGTCAGAGAGCAGCTCAACAGGTTTACCTCTGCGAGCAATAAAACGCCTGAGCGCCATCAAGAAGGAATCTGTATTCATGTGACTGAGTAGATCAAGATGCACGCACCTAGTCGTCAGACATTTGAAAATTATTCCCCACCTTTTTTCAGCTCGTCTGCCAATCTTGACCGTATAGGGCCCAAAACAATCCATCCCAATAGAATAAAATGGAGGTTCATGAAGGTGAAGGTGAGTGGGAGGGAGATCTGCCATTCGGGGAATAATGGGATGTGCTCGGAATTGTTGGGATTTCGGGCACCTATGCTGATATTTTCTGACTGCCTCACGACCCCTCAGGATCCAGTACCGCCTTCTTAACTCTGCAAAAAGCCTTTCTGGCCCAGGATGTTGTAGGTGGTCAGCACAATCCTTAATTATAAGCGTTGTGATTGGATGGCCAGGGTCCAGGACTACTGGATGAACGGCATCAGGGGGTAGATCACTGCTTTGCCGTAACCTTCCGCCTACTCGAATGAGCCCTGATGCTGGGTCTAACTCTGGGGCAAGGGAGAGTAAACGACTTGAAGATAGAAGGGGCTTTTGAATTTGAAGGCAGGCTAAATCATCCCTGAAGGAATCCACCTGGGCTTGTCTTAGCATGGCGGTCTCTGAATCATGGTAGTTTTCGGCTGATGGAGGCTTTGCCGCCCCATGAAGGGATGCCGCCATGCAGTCAAGGAGATCTTGGAGGGTGGCAAATTGACTAGGGTCAGGGATGGAGGGGTATGGACTGAGGGATACAGCACCACAGAAGCTGGGCTTATGCCGTTCTTCAGCATAATCAGATGGATCTATTGCAGGGCTAGTGGGCCACAGTTCAGAGGATTGAAAAAGAAAGCCAGCTCCTAGGTTCCACCTGCAGGGCCTACTATGTTCGGCTAGTAGCTTTCATCTAGTTAGGTCGTCTGCTGGGTTGTTCTGAGAATCCACATAACACCACTCCTGGCCTTTAGTGAGCTCCTGAATCTCAGCTGCCCTGGTTCCAACGAAAACTATGTAATGGCAAGAGTCAGACTAGAGCCAATGGAGTACAGTGGTAGAGTCAGTCCATAGAATAGTCCTTCTGATATGGAGGGTGAGCTCTGTTTGGAGGAGACCAAATAGCTGGGCTCCTATGAGAGCAGCACATAATTCAAGTCTCGGAATGGATAGTTGTTTTTTGGGAGCGACGCGGGACCTCGCCATGAGGAAGGACACATAACCTTGTTGCTGACCATCATCTGTGCGCATGTAGGCAACTGCACCATAGGACCTCTCTGATGCATCACAGAAGATGTGAAGGTCCTGAGTGGCTAAGGAGGTGTCTACTGAAGGAGGGGTGAGGCAGCGAGGCAGAGTGATAGTGGAGAGGTTAGGGAGTTCATTTTCCCAGGAAACCCAGGCTTCTAAGAGATCATGAGGGAGATTTAGGTCATCCCATTCTCGTGCCTTTCCCCATAAGTGCTGAACGATGATTTTGGCCCTTGTTGTGTAAGGGAGGATATAGCCAAGAGGATCGTACTGGCTAGCAAGAACTCTATAAATATGGCGCATAGTTGGAATGGTAGGTTCAATGACTCTGCCATACAGATACCCTCAGACACAGGCACAGTTCCAGAGGAGGCCTAGTGTAGACTGAGGGATCAAGGAAAGGATGGTGTGATAACCAAAGCTCCGTTTGTTCTGACCTGGCTTCAGGAGGTAGGTCATAGATGACCTGAGGATCATTACTAGCCCATTATCTGATTTCAAAGCCACCAGAGGAGAGGGTAGAGCGCAGGCTATAAAGGAGATCTCTGGCTTCCTCTGGGGTCGTGAGACTCTGTAAACAGTTATCCACGTAAAAGTTATTGTGTATGGAATGGTGAATGCACTCATCTGCCTGAGTATCTTTGATGATCCTCTGGAGGATGTAAATGGCACAGCAAGGGTTTGAGGTTGTGCCAAAGGGGAGAACTTGCCATTCATACACTGTTGGAGGAGCTTCACTGTCCAGGTCACGCCAGAGGAATCGCAGGAGAGGTTTATCCTGGGGTAGTAGGCGCACCTGGTGAAACATTGATTTAATGTCTCCACTGATAGCAGTCTTGTGCTGCCTAAAACGGAGTAGAACTCCAAGGAGTGAAGGCCCAAGGATTGGTCCAGGAAGTAACTGTGAATTCAGACACTGATTTCGGTAGGAAAAGAAACAATCAAACACAATGTGATCTTTACCATTGTGATGCACAATGTGGTGGGGTATGAACCAGGACTCAGGGACATCTTCTATTTCAGAGGATGACAACTTCTTGACATACCCAGCATTAACCAATTTCTGGATCTCATTGGTATAGGTCTCTGCCTGTTGTGGGTTTTGAAGGAGTCGCCTTTCACAGCTGTGGAGACAGGACATTACTGCCTTCTTGTGGGCCTTCAGAGGGGGCCAGGGGTCTAAACGGAGGAGAGGTGCTGCATATCGAAGGGTGCCATCAATAGGTATTCTGATGGTCTGGGTCTCAGGCTGGTGCATTGCCTCTTGATCCTGTTTGGAACGAACCACATCTTTCATGCTTCTCTGAGGCAGGGGCGGACTTAACCATTAGGCAAAGGTCGGCAATTGCCTTGGGCCCCGAGCTACCTAGGGGCCCCCAAAATGCCCCATTAAATTATGCTTAAGTTTTTTTTTTTTTTTTTTTTTTACTTTTCGCAAATGATATATTTCTAAAAAAACATTTGCGAAAAAAGGCATCAAGTCATTAGTGTCGCAGACAGGAGGGGGCCCCCCACCTCACTACATTGGACTATTCCATTATCTCACTTTCTGCGTGCGAAAGTGACAAGGCTAATGCGCCAAAAAACTGACGGAGAAAAATAAGTTATTGACAGACCGTGTAGGCTACAGAGTGACAGACAGAGAAGCTACCCAAGCGGTGCTGAAAAAGCAGGAAGCGGGAGGAAAGCAAAACGTTTTTAGCAAAATTGCAGAAGGTAACAAACTTTTTTGTGATGCCCGGTACGTGCTAACGATATGTTACAAGTCCATGGCCGTAGCAGCTATGAGGTGACCGAGGTCCGGAACTCTGTCATATTTTACATTCAAAAATAAAATGTCAAGCTCTCTGAATGATTAATTAGCCGTTTAAACCACCTCATATGAGTGTTTGCAATGCATGTTGCTGCGAGAAGCTAGCGCAGTGAACGGGGCTTGAGAGTGCGTTGTGAGTGAGGGCGCGCGTGCAGCCTCCGTGTTGCCAGATCCACCTAATGAAAAGGTGGAAGTATTCTTCTGGACCTGTTTTTCTGATTTAATGTGACTCTTTAGGAAATAATTAAAGTGGAAAGTTGCATGTTAGGGTTAGTGATATATTAATCTTATTTCCAAAACACAAGCTTTGAACTTATTTCGGATTATTATAATTTTGTTTTCTTGTTTTTCGTAGCAATATCTGGCAACATTTTACTGTCGGCATTAATAAAAAAAAAGCTTATAGACAAACTGTAATTGCATAAAGCTACGA